CGCTTAAAAGCAGATGGATTTCAGAGGTCAGCAAGCACCGCCCCCCACCCCTTATTATTTTCTTAAAGCTAAACAACGCTAACTAGTGAATTCATTGTGGAATCAAAAGACATGAAAGGAAGGGCATTTCAGCTTGCACAATAGTACAAAGAACAACAAGAATGGTCATGTTTTGCTGAAGAACTCACAGCTGTTTGATTTTATAGTAAAATTACTTTAAGAACTTTGCTAATGCAAAGACAAAACCAAACAACTGTTGTTGCAAAATTAAACTTCCACGTGCGAGTAGGAAAAGCCAAGTGGAGAATAATCTGCTACTGAAGTCATGCTAAAAATACAGAGCATTTTTGTGAAAGCTGCTTGAAGGAGTGACTTTCGTCTGAAGAGAAGGCATATACAAGACAGAAGTAGTAATTTACTGGTAACATGATGAGAAATAGTTTATGTTCTCATGTACTTTGCCCCAAGTTCTCCTCGCCCTCCCCCCGCTTTTTCTGAAGTTGAGCGGTCTGTTTTAATACCAGGTTTGTTTGCTTTTTGGGGATGGGCCTGTTGGGCAGGAAATTGTCAAAAAAAAAAAAAAAAAAGTAGACAGCACAAATTTTAGAAGACGTTTTTACAAAATAAATTCCATACTACATCGAGTAACAGATGATTAAATTTGGATTTCAAAAATTTTGTACAATTTTGTTTTTAAGAAAAATGAGATAAATGAGATAAATTCTCTACCTACACTTAGTTTTACAAATTTCAAGTTTCCATATGTTCCCTATTGTCAGAAACAAATAAACCAGAGCTTTTTATTTTTTTTTTAAAGAAAAAAGTGGTTTTCTTCCATATTAGGGAATTATTCAGGCTTCCTTCCTTGGTTCCTATAATTCCAAACTAGTTGGAACATGAGTCTATTTTTGGTTGGTGAGGGAACTTTTAAAATGTGGTCATGATTTTAAAGGCTCTAACTCTAACACACAAAAAATCAATTTGCCACATATATAACAGTTATGGCTGTAAATATAGTGAAGTCATTGTATTCCAGAAAGACAAAGTTCTAATTTCCATATTCCAAGCCCCTCCCACCCTCACTCCCACAACGGCCGTCATCACACAGGAGGGCTGCTAGGTGTAAATTCTAAAACATATAAGATAACATGAGGTTGTGATCTGCGGCTTCTCTCTAAGATGAATGCTTTTACCTATATTTGATTAAACTCTTGTGAATTTCTGGGATTGTATGATCGACCCATCGCATCACACAGATCTCACCACGAGAGGGCGAAAGAGAGTTTGCTTTCAGCTAACAAAGCTAGAAACGGTTTCAATATCAGCAGTGTTTTAACTTGTTAAGGATTTATTTTTCCACCTTCCGGGTGCTACACATGCAGCCTCTGAGTTTCCAATGACAGCGAATAATAATAATCCAAATAAAGTTCTTCTAAGGGAAAATATAGACAGACAAGAGCAGACAAGAGCTTTTGCCCAAATAAGGATCCCTTTTGTGACAACTCCATGTGTTAGATAACCATCAACTGACAGTTGGCCATGAGTTAATAATGTTGGATGCTGAAATATGCATACCATGTGCTATAAAAGACCATGGAGGACATGGACAAATACTTCTATAGTTAGATATCAGGAACATACCAGAGGTGTGCAGAGTGCTGCATGTGGTCCCTATCAAGCTACTTCATGAAAAGTGTTACATGGTGCAACATATAATATTTATTTCGTATTTGGAGGATGTTGCAAATTTTGGTCTTAATCTCCATGCATGTCATTGCCTAAAATGCTATAGTGACTCTTTACTTCTAAGAAAATATTTCCAAGCTTATTTCCACTACCCTCCCTGTTGTTCTTTCCTTTTTACTGTGGGATCACCCCACCCATAAAAAAAAAAAGTTTGTTGGAGATGGGAGGTCCATTCAGGAATCTGGCAGGCATGAACCCTCTCCAGGACTTAAGCTTCCGGTGGGGTTTCTGTCTGGTGGTCACAGGAAGCAAAAGGTGAAGCGGTAGATGGAATGGGCTTTGATTTCAGCCACCATGACCAGTGTTTGGGAGGATGGAATATTGGACCAGCAGGTCTTTGACAGCCATCTCCTTGGAATGATGCCTTGCGATCTTGTTGGTTCTAAGAACGATTGGACAATGGGTGTGTCTATTGTTTAGCTCCCATATTTCTAAACATCTTGTTCTGTTTGATTCTTCTGGGCTCTGGGGAACACTTCTGTTCGAAGTGTATCTCAAGGTCTGGTGTCTCTCAATGCCACAGACATCACCCTCTTGCCTCTAGACACCTGCATGTATCTGACTTCTCTAAGATGAAACCTCCAAAGGGGAAAACGCAGTTGACGTTGAACCTCATCAACAGTTGGCAGTGGAGAATCTTCCTACTTCCCATCAGCCCGAATCACTGAAGCTCCATTTGCTCAGAAGTCAGTTTGCATGGAGTCATGAAACTGACTATAAAGCAAATTAAAGATATGTTATCTCAAAAACCAAAGAGAGAGAGAGAGGGAAAGAGAGAAGAGAGAGAGAAGGAAGGGGGAAGTATCAATATAGTCTTAGAATTGTATCTATGAACTGTGTTAAATCTGGTCTCTTCATATTAATAAAAATGTAAATTAAAAATGGCTCTCATTATACTCCACCCATATCGGCGGCAGGAGAGAAGTCATGAAGTGGACAGAACCTCCAACTCCCTCCATTCCATCCTCTGTTTTCTCTCTCTGCCTTTCCCCCAGATTGTTGTCAACCCTCAACATTTGCGCTGACATCTTAGTAAAGGAAATTAATGAAGTAGCAGCAGCATCATGGCCACTTAGAGGCCCTGAGTCCATGATGACCAGACCGTCCCCCACAGCAGTGACGACAATCCTCAATTGCACCAAAACTTTCCAGTTGTGACTTGCACTGACTTTCCTGGCCTCAAATGTCAGTCCTGTTTGGTCTGCTCCTTAACACATATTTCCAAGGACGTATCTCTGATCCTAACATTGAGTTGTTGACTACGCCAGTGTCACCCAAGAGAAAGATAATGTGAGCCATATGTAATTTAAAATACCCCAGTAACCACATTTTAAAAGGTAAAAAGAAACATGTGGAGTTAATTTTAATAATATATGTTCTTCAATCCAGTCTAAAATATCATCATTGCAATATGCAATCAATATAAAATGTTATTAATGAGGCATTTCAGTATTTCTGGTTTTGGAGTTCCAGTGTGTATTTAGCATTCATGTCACATCTAAATGCCTAGTGAATACATGTGGCTGGAAGTGACTGTATTGGGCAGAGCAGATCTAAATGGTAATAGAAATGTTTCTCTTCCATTGAAAAAGAAAAAAGCGAAGAAGCCCTAGCCTGTTCTGTGTTCATTTTCGATCTTGCATTAAAGTTTCTGATGGCATCTGTGACAAGCCTGCCTTGCATTACCTGAGCCCTCCAGCTTGTCCCCTGCCCCCACCGCGGGGTATAATTATCAGTACTTAGTCACTAGAGCAGCAGGAACTGCAGACCTTATCGCTGCCCCTGCCTGCACACCCCAAGCCTCTTTGTCTTCTCCTTCTGTGGCTTCACTGCCCTCAGCTCTTAGACTCTGCCTTGCGGCACATGAGTTCCTTGGCATCACAGAAAAGTTTCAGAGCCACGTTCCTGGCAGGTGGCCGCTGCGCCTCCACCAGCAGTGGAGGGGAGGCCCTGTGCTTTACCAGAAGACCCTCATAAAAAAGGAGGCATGGAGCATCCACCTGAGCCAGGAAAGATGGCTCAGGGTCGGTCTCGGACAGCCGAGAATAGCCACCTTTTATACTGAAAAGTAGAAATGCACAAGGGGAATGAAAACCCTCCCATCAGTATAAATCCCCTTTTGAATCTTTGTGGAAGAAACCATGAGCCTGCTACCTGATGACCTTTTACTTTTCCTTAAGTGTGTGTGTTTTAAGAACTGAAATGTCTCATGACGTCTTCATCCAAGTCTGCAGAAAGTTAAATGTCTCTATGTTAATACACACACACACACACACACACACACACTTTTCTTAATGCATTTCCCAAGTGCGGAAATGTTTGCTTTATAGAAGGAGCGAGTCGGTTATCCTCCGTGTTACAAATGGAATCTCTCATTTCCAAACCTGGAGAAATAGCTGCCCAAGAATGAACTGCTTAGATAGGATTTTGAAAACTGTTCTGACGTTCCTGCTCTTGCAAGCCTGTTCAGCATGAGCGTGTAGCTTTCCCCCTCCGTGCTGTCATGTTTAATAGTGACACCACAGAGCCCATCAATCAGACTAGAATGAGCAGATTTACTGACTGTAACAAAAATGAAAAATGGAGAGGGAAAGAGACACAAAATTCTCTAGGTTTAAGAGGTCCCATTTTTCTAACTTTCAGAAATGATACAAATCAAAACGTCCTCACATTTCCAGGATAGATCCTTAAACAGAATTTTTTCCAGAGATCATTATTTTAAGTTACTATTCAATTCTTGTTATTTAATAACACACTAAGGAAGGTCAAGTCAATGTTGATGGACTCGTTTTCGAAAGCTGGAAACTGGAGCTATTTCAAACTCCTCACACACACATACAAAAGGTATATCATGTGACATTAAAACATACTGATTTTAGTGGCAGTAGTGTTGTCTGCTCAATCCACTCCATTGAGAAAGACATGTGGGTCAGAAACTGGGAATCCTGGAAGAGGAAGCATGGATGCTGGCAAAGTGAATAGTAGGAAAGATTGCTTCCCAGAAACCAGCATTGTGGTGTGGTGGGTTGAGCCACTACCTGCAGCGTCAGTATCCCATATTGGTACTGTTTCAAGCCCCTGCTGCTCCACTTCTTACCTAGATCCCAGCCAATGGCCTGGGAAAAGTTGTGAAAGCTGGCCCAAGTGCTTGGGCCCCTGCACCCATGTGGGAAAACTAAAAAAATTTCCCTGTGCAAGCATTTGGGGAGTGAACCAACAGATTGAAGATCTCTCACTCACTTGCTTTCTCTCTCTCTCTCTCTCTCTCTCTCTCTCTCTCTTTCTAACTCTGCCTTTCAGATAAATAAACATTTTTTTCCTACTAAAAACCAATGTGTGGGGTAAATAAAAAATGGGAAGTTTTAGCCACCGTGACTTTTTTAGGGGCTTCTTTTGCTATAGTTGGGTGAAGTGACCGCAGAGCCTGAACTATTGGAGAGCAATGTGGCAGCTGAGGACCCAGACCCTTGAGTGCAGTGCTATGACTAGATAGCAATGCCACTGTACCCTCAGGGGGTAAGCTCCATCCTTTGTCCTCGGGCATCATTCTTTATAGATGTGTGGAAAACCGCAGCCTGCTTCCCCTCCATGCTTTGGGGTACAGGGCCCTTCATTCCCAAGATGAATACGTTTTTTCAAAACAGCCATGCCCCACTCTCTCCATTCCCTTTTAAGTCCTGAAGGGGACCCCTACAGCGAACACTTTCCAGTGGGGGGATAGTGTGTGGAGCTTAGGAGACCAGAGTTGAACGGCCGGGAACAGATTCCATGCTGCCTCGGAAAGCCAGTTCTCTGCACATCCCGACTCTTAACTCCTCCACACCTGGCTTTAGCTCCCAGCCGTCCCTCTGATCCCCTCAAGTGGCAGGGGCAAGCATCTCAGGTCCCTTTCTTCGCCAGAGACTTCTAGAACATTTCTTTACCATCTTGGAATGCACTACGTGATTTTGAAATAATGTACAGATAGCAGGGTTTGGTCCTTTAAGTTTCTGTCCTTTCTCAAGATACAGCCGGAAAACAAAGATAGAAATCTGCCTGTCCCTGCTGGCGAAACCTGACTACAAAAGAGGTTTGCTTGTCTTTAAATGGCCAGGGCACATGGAGTCACATGCTTTGAAACCAATTAGCAGCACGGATGAGCTAGTCAGTCCTGCTCATTTAGAGGGCGGGGGAAGGGTACAAGTCACATACTTTGTGTTTTTAAGTGTTTCTGAGAAATGAAGACCTCCAGGGCAGAGAGAAGGCGGATCAGGAAATAACTATGCAAACCACATACCTATCATATTACTAAAACTTTGATTAGGGGCATTAACAATTGCTTCAGCACTCACAGGTATGAAACGGGAGTGAGTAAGACTGGGCATGTTTTGGAAGGGATTACATGAGTGTTTACTTACATGCTTTGGTGAGCACCGAATGTGGTCCACGGCTGTTCTGGACTTACACTGCCTGTGCAGCCCAGGTAGGACACACGCAGGCACACATTCCACTCTCCTTGGGGACTCTTGTGGATCTCAGTGACTTGGAAAAACAGCCAAAGGTACTAGACCTCAGCACAACTCTTCACCCTTCCAGGTGCTAGAATAGGGACCTGGATTCCGTGGCAGCATCTAGAGCCTTGGAAGTGCCCTGTGGTGGTCAATGGTTCAAAACACCCAGAGGAATGGCTTAGGCTAATGCGATCTTGGAAACGCAAAGTGCAGGGCGTTATACGGCTCTGACATCAAATGCAGTGAGGGTGTTCATTCCCCTGGTCGTTGTTCAGGGCTGCATGGGATTGACAGCATCGGAAAGTTGGGGAAAGCTGGAATTTGTCTCCAAAGTCTGGGCTGACAACACTGGGCTCCTCTTTTTAATGCCTTTATTTTTCTGTCAGAACAATTTCAAAATAATAACAATCTTGTGGCATTGTCTTCCCACGTCTATTGCTTAAAAATTCATCAACTAAGTTAGAATGCCCCTCAAGGTCAAGTTGTGCTCATTAATGGTACTGTATTTTCATCTCTCAGACAATAGGGTTGCTTCGCCAGTGTTTTCTGTTGAGTGTGGAAGACTGTTTATGGGAAAACACAATCAAAATACATTTCAACATTTTGAAATCAACACATTATTAGTGTTTTCTGAACTCACATGAAGATCCAATCAACTAAATAGAAGTTGAGTCCCAGTGGGTCATGGATGAGCTGTAAACTATGGATTTGAAGGGGGAACTTTTAGGGAATCATTTATGAATTTTTAAGTTGAAATGTGAGTTTGAATTGAAAGCCAAAATGAGGCCTGAGAGCTCCTACTCTCCTCCCTCCCCCCTCACATATTTGAAAACTGAAATTCTGTAAGAGATTATCTGTGAAATGCCTTTCTTTTATTATGCCCATAAATTTTAGGAGTGGCTTTGATCAAGCCTTCTGCCATTCTCGGTTTCTAAATCTTTTATTCATACGTTAATAACTTTAAAAACATTCATCCTATTTTTGTTATAGTGAAAGAGGAAGTGTCTAAATAGTCAAAAGGGAAACATTGAAAATAGAGCACACTAAATGATAACTAAATTAGGGTAGGGCTTTTTTTTTTTTTCCAGAAAGAGCAGTGCTCCATGCTGAAACCTGCTAGGGTATTTTAAGATTATTGTCTGTAAAGAAAATGTACCAGACTTGAGGGCCTCATAGGAAAGGCATTACAGAAATGCAAACTATTATCAGAAACACAAACTATGCATAGGACAATGTTTGTGAGTACCTAATACTTCAGGCAGTGGCTCTCTTTTGTTTTTTTGGCTCTCATGTAAAACACACACACACACACACATTCATGTACAACTTGCAAATATGAGTTACACTCTGCCAACTTCCTCTAGACATGGACCCTGGGGGATCAAACTCTTAGGAAAATTATGCCTGTTTTTCCATTGCCCTGCTTCCAATCCCCACCAATCAGCAAGTCCTATCTGAGAGTCTCTCGAGAGACTACGAAGCTGCGTTAGCAACAAAATCCTCTCTGTAAAATGGGAAGAAAGGGTTGTTAACTGATGAGTCAATCCCATTTTTATAGCAGTTTATCTTTGTGGTATTTCCAAGAGCACAAATGCTATTTAAAAAAAAAAAAGTCATGACAGGAAGAACACAGTAGGGAAAAAAAACAGGAACATTGAAGCCAAAAGCAATTGACTCTGCCAGTAACTGGTTACATTTCCTTTGTTTTATTATTATTATTGCAAAAGTTGGGGTTGAGATGAAAAGTTTCTCACACCTGCACTGTCGAGACGCATAACTTGTCGGAGGCCACGGTGAAGAAAATTACATAAATGCCTCTACAACTCTGAGCTGCCAGACACTTTAAGGAAACAAACAAACTTGTTTGCGTTGCATTGTTCATAACACTGCCTATAATTCATTCCTATGTGGAGGAGTTCTTAAAAATGGGTGAGATGTCAGAGTAGCCCAGAGCACTGGAGGCAGCTTGATTCTCCTGGGATTAACACCTATTGAAATAGCAGTGACTTCACAAAGGTGAAGGCTTGTTAATTTCTTGGCACAGAGTATGAGAGGCAGATGGGCAGTCAGAAAAGATTCTTTAACAGAAAGAACAGTAATTTTTCATTGATTAGGACATAGAACCAGCAACCCACTGCAGAGGCTAATGTGTATATGATGCTCCAAGTTCAGTGACATTAGTAAATTTCAGTGAAAGTCTTAACACCTCGATGGGACCCTGCTGGCCATCAAGTCTATGGGATTTTGGTTGCTTCTCAAGAGTGTGTTTATTAGGGGAAAGCTTTATCCAGTCCACGTTAATATGAATGCCTCATCATGAGGCAGAAAGAAGGAGAGGGGAGAATGAACACGTATGCTGTGTGCTAAAAGCAGACTCTGAATGAAATCTCCCTTGGGTTGGAATCTTAACTGCTTCCAAGAAACCTGTTGAGTGGCCCAAGACAGGTCATTTCATCTCTATCTCACCTTCTTGATCTGTACAATGGGGATAATTATACCTTTGTCATTGACTTGTTGTGACAAAGTACTCCAAGAAGGGACTGACTCAGAGAAAGTGCTCCGTGTTTGCTTCTCTAGGTATCCATGCATAATATCAGCAACACTGCTGCAAAGGGCATTTATGGGACTCTGCAATGAGCCAGCCTGGGGCTGGGCCAGGGGTTATGGATACCTGTGGAGAGTAACCGTGCGTTGATTGCTTACACTATGGTGTTATTAAAGAAGATAGCAGGGAGGTGCTGCTGGCTTGTGGGGGAGGGAAGGAGGTTGGCCTCACCAAGAGTACCCAGCTGCTCTCCTGCCCCAGCAGGACTCTGGGTCTCTCAGCAGGAATGGCCAGGGCCACGGCAGGTATAGATCATGCAGGACAGCCAGAAGAAGGTGGGGCTGTTTCTAATGCCAAAGAACTAAAGTCCAGAGCTCCAGCTGACCCCTGACCGGCATCACATCCTAATGTATTCAGTCACCAGCCTGGCAAATGATTTGTTTCCATGACCCTGGAGTGGGGGGAGGGGGGAAAAGAGGTGCTCTGAAGGCCTGAATCTAGCCATTTTTTTTAAGTCCTTAAGCTTTACCTGAGGTCTCCTGCTTCCAAAAATGTCTTTAATTGTGTCTTGGGGGGTTGCCATCGCATCTGGCACTCCATTCTCCCCAGACTTTGAACACTGAAGCTCCTTAGCACATCTGGGCATTACAGGTGGAACAAGCTGAGAGTCCTGAAATGCCAGACCCCATGGCTTCAGGGTAACCAAGAACCAAAGGCTTTCAGGTCTCCCATATCAATCACCCACAGGATCTCCTATTGTTGCCTTAGGGTGCCAGAGCCAAGTCGTCAGCAGAAAATGTGGGGGCAGCAGTTAGGTGCCTTGGGTGACGAGTGTCCCATGTGGTGAGTTGGCAGGCCCAGTCAGTGAGGCCCAGAAAGAGGACCATGTAGGCATCTTTAATTCCATTAGTCACTTGCTCATTCAACAGTCTTGTTATGCAATGCTGCCGGCTGGGTGTTGTGCTGGGGCAGATGAAAGATGAATCTGGCACGGTCTTGCCCAGCCTAGTGCAATAATACACACACACACACACACTCCAGGGAACTTAGTGACAGGTTCCTCATGAGAAGGACTATTAAAAGTACACAAGGGAGACTAAAGGAAGGGCGTGAGTGTGAGCACTGAACAGCCAATAGCATTCACCTAGACATACCTGCCTTGGCCATGCACTTGCTTTTTTTTCTCTTGATCACGTCATGATCACACAGCATTGAAGCTGGTGTGGGTAGAATATTAGGCACTAGCTGGTCTGTTCTAAGTTTGTCATTCTCAGAATCCGCACGGGGAAAGACATGTGCTTTTCTGGATTTTGAAAACAGCTCAAAGAATGGAGAAAATAGATCCGGCTGGGGGGAGAGAGGTCTCAGCAGTTCCCGGAAGCTTTGCTGTCAGTGTTTAAAAGAGCATGCTCAGTGCAAGTTCTCAAAAAGGCCTTGGGGATCGGAAAGCTCTTCTGGAAACAAATGCCTTTTACGTTTAAGTGCTTTTCACCAAAATGCTAGTAGCTAGGGAAGATGGAAGTAACACGCGGTAGAACAGAGACAATATTGTTTCGATTCTGTTCCTCAGTGCCTTCCCACCTGCTCTGAGCGAGTATTTTGATAAGGGACATGAAAAGGATATCTTTCCCTGGAAGTCATTAAAGTCTTAGCACTTGAGTCAGCTGTGGAAACACAAAGTCTCCTGGACACAATGGTCCACGCCTCGGCTCCGGGCCGTGGCCAGTGTCCGATCCGCGGAACGTGGCGTGGCGCGGTGACAGGGAAGCAGCAGGTCCGCGGCAGCGGCCGGGCAGGCAGGGGATGAAATCATCCCACCTCCCTGCTCTGCTGGGAGGTGGGGAGCGCACGGCCCTCCCTGCCCGTCTGGCAGCTCGGCTGAGTCCTCAGCGCTCATCCCACACCCTCAGTGCTAGTCACTGCCGTGTGTTTACATGAGTAAGGGAGCCGCCGGGGGAGGGCGGTTGTAAGCTGAGCGCACAGCCTCGCGGCTCGCATTCGGAGGGAGGCTGACAGGCATAGCACGACCAGACTTCCAGGGATGTGGCCCGAGAGCAGTCACATGCTGTAGCGTTCGCGAGCGCAGACATCAATCAGGCAGATGTTTGTCGACTGGAATGGGTAATCGCTACTTTCTCTACGTTTGATTTTGTTTGTGGGCTTGTGGATTTCTGATCTTTCCCGGCTGCCTCCTCGGGTGGACTTCCAGCCTCGCGCGTTTGGGGGAATAAGAGGGGGAGTGGGGTTTGGGTTGGGGAGTCGCTTTTGAAACTTTTTTTTTCCCCTCCCGGCTTCTCTATTAGCCCGGCGTTGCTGTGAAAAAAAAAAAAAAATGTTTTCCGCGGTAGAAAATCAAATTAGTGGGATTAATTGTGTTTGTAGGAGGACAGTGTGAGAGGTTTTAACTGCGTGACAGAAGAAAGGTTTACAACAATTAAGAGGGTTCGCAGTGGCGGAGAGTTGGTGCTGTCATAATCAACCCTTGGTATAGTAAAACATGCCGGTACCTTGGGAAGTCTGGAAGAAATTGATTGGGGTGTAATTCATTAGTTTGGAATTGTTCGAGGACCGGTTGGTTACTTGGTCAGCTTTAATTTTGCGTGAGTTGGGTGACTGGTGAAGTTAAATGTGAAAGCTGATGCCAGAGCGTCACGGCACTCAATAAACAGCCTCCCCCACTCCCTTGCTTTCTGGATAGATGTTTAAAGAAACTGAACTCCACATCAAGGAGGAAATATAACTTCCATTTGTCTCTTTTAAAAAGTATAGCCCTAATAGGCTCAGCCTGACCCCAGTATCGTCTCTGGAAGTTATTTTAAATAACCCTCAGGATCTTCCTAGAGAATATGTTGAAGAGGAGAAGGCAGGCAGCTTGCTGATTGAAATGTATCTGGCAGATTTATTGAAATGTGAACCTCTCCAGTCCCAATATTATTAGTAAATACATGTAATAATATTTTCCAACTTGTTACTTTCTCTCTCTCTCTCTCATTTGCTTGCTAGCTTTTGACTTCACCGATATGATAATGTGGGAAATTGCTCATGTCTCTAAATACTCTGAGTTGTTATCAAGTTCTGTGTTACTGAGCTACCTGAATAGGCTGGCACATCATTTGGGTTTTTGAAAACAACACACACACACACACACACACACACACACACACACAAAGGATTATCTCAAAGCTAGGTTCTGGGCTATCTATCAGCTCTTACTGCGTCTTTGCTAAGAACAGGGATGGCTTTATCAGAACTATCCTTCAGCATTAGGGGCTTTCTCTTATTGGTGTAATGGGCTATGTCACGGTGCCATGGGTGGCTTGGGACTCAGGGACAGAAGTGTCTCATTCACCAACATGTGATCCTGGAGAGAGGAGTGCGGGATGCCAGGCCGATGCCCCACACATGTGAGACCGTTGTAGTTAGCCTCCGACTTTCAGAAGGAAGCCCATGCAAATGAAACTGTGTGTCAAATTGTTCTCCATTTGTTTGCAGCGCCAAATCTTAAAGGCAGACCGCGCAAAAAGAAAACATGCCCGCAGAGAAGAGACTCATTCAGTGGCGTCAAGGATTCCAACAACAATTCCGATGGCAAAGCCGTTGCCAAGGTACGCTCCATCACATTCATTTTGCTGCATTTTTTTTTTCCTTTTTATTTTTACTTTTTTTTCTCTTCATCTCTCTGTTCTGTGTGTTAGTGGAAGTTTCCAGTGTAGAAGCTGTCTTTGGAGCTCCACACTCTGGAGGCTGGGAGAATGGAGGGAGGGAGAGGAGGCGTTTTAATTAGTCAACAGAAAGACTTCCCAACTCCCACTTTGGCCTGTTGGGTAAAGGACAGATGATTAAGCGTCCACGTCATTGAGGCTGAGATTTCATAGTAGGTGACACAATGACATAGTTTACTCTGCTCGTGTCAAAAATAGACCTGCTGAACCATCCTCTTCCCGAATGGGTTCATTTAAACATGTTTCAGAGATTAACAGAGGATGAAATTAGAAATGGCTAGAATTAATCTTTTCAATTGGTACTTTCCAAGGTCACTTTTAATTTATCTCAGAGTAAAAATAAAGTCAAATAGCAACATATTTACATGTATATTATATATATGCATATATATATAGTTATATATATGAGTTTTTAAAGAGCCTAGTGAATGTGGAAAGAAAAAACTCATTTGGCCTCCACCTTGTTTGGAATCTTGAAAGTACAAGTCCATGGAGGCTAAAGTGTTGTTTTTATAATTTTAGACTTACCTTGTGGACTTCTGCAGGCTTGGGTCAGCTGTCCCTGATTCTCCTACAGGGTGTTTGGGTTTGGCTCTGGTTTCTGTGCCAGAGATCACAGTATTCTCTCTAGGACCTGAATCCTAGGCCAGATTTCAGCTGACTCCATGCTTCCAGAGACAAGAAGTAAACGTCTACAAGTGGTAGTGTTTTGGCTGCCAGTGAATTGGGGAGATGGTGATGCAGAAAAACGTCCCAGTTCTATTACGTGTTTACAGTCCTATTTGTCTGCCATGGACTTCTCCACGGATTAACAAAGTGAATCCGGGACATGCACAGTCTTTGCTCTTATCGTCAAGTTTGATTGTTTCACGGGAATTCTGAGAACTTTTTGGTTAGGATTGAAAGCAAGATTCCGGAGAATTACAGAGAGATCAACCAGTAGAAATGTGCATTTTCCTTCTTTCGGCTGAAGAACAAATCTATCTTTCCTGAAAGTAATTTCTGTTTTGCTAGTTTAACTTTCTTGGGGGAGGGAGAGACTACACCGATGTCATAAGTCCATTTTCTTGTATGTTGGACATCTCAGCACCAGAGCTACCTAAGTCTGGGCTCCACAATCAGGAAAGATGCCAGCAGGAACAGCTCCCTGCTTACAGTGTGCTCTGCATGTTCCTGAAAGACACTGCAGAATGGCATGCGGAGGTTTGAAGATGTGCCTTGCTTTGGTGCGGGCCCATTCCTCTAGAGTGACATCATGCATTCACTCCCGCATATTCTGTACCTGAGCCCAGCAGGAAGACATTCCTTCCCAGGTGGTTTGGATTTCTAACCAAGGTTTGCCTCTGGGAATTTTACAAAACATATCCAGTTGATCTGAAAGTGTACAGTATCGCCAATGTCTTTCTCCATGGAGGGCAAGCTCAGGCCTCACACTCAGACACACCAGTAGGAGGAGAACAGGAGATGGCTCTACAAATGGGCTGTCATTGATGTTCAATCACTTCTCCTTAGCATGGACAGAAGTCAAGCCTGGGTGTGCTGAGTGATGACGCAGCCCCATCCCCCGTGTGCCCACTCTGAACCTGTCTGAGGAGACGCACCACACTCCTGCTATAGGTGTTCAGTGCTAAAGGGATCCCTGGAAGGCTGCAGTCAGCTCTTAGGAACTGGTCTAACAACTTGGCTCTCTGTAGAGCCTTGGAATACAGTTTTGCTTTGGCCACTTCTCCAGCAACCGGGTAAAGGAAGCCATTGACAGGTACAAAGTAGGATGAATTTGTTTGTTGGCACCAACAGATACAGAATGAACAGCGTCTGGAACCAGCACAGTTATTAGATATACCTTTGTATATTCCTGTGATCTCCTTCCATGAAATGCTACAGTAAGAGATGTCTCTAAGCCTTTGGCTAGTGGATCATTTGCTGAACTGTAAGCACCATTTTAGGTGACAGCTAGTTGACTTTATGACCAAGACCTGTGTGACTGCTTCACCAGCATTCGAAACAGGCTATCCAAGTGGAGAAGTATCAACTTCATTGCAGCTGCACACAGCAAGGTTTCCAGAACGCAGCCCATCACTGGGCTTGCTGTACTCATGACTGGTGGTTTACCTATCACTCTCAAAAGGTTACAGTATCTCAGTGTGAGCAAGGCTTTGCAGCACCCTGTTTTCCTAAGGAGAAAGCGTATCATGGCTTCCCAAAGATAACAGCAGTCCCATGGGAAGGAAACTACATATTCTTTGAAGACATCATCAGAGTGTCCAGCCCAAATGCTGCCGTGTCCCTGGGCTTTTCCTCCAGCAGCAGGTTTGGGACCCAGGCCTGTCCGTGGGATGATCTGGGGCAGAGTTGTCTTCTTGGCCTATGGATGGATGGAAAGCAAATGATTTCTCATATCCTGCAAGCCTCTTCCAAAGTCCAGAAGTAACAGGTGGTTTATATTCTAAAAATAATGTAGAAAAGGAAACTATGGTGCATAATATGTTCTTTTCATTTAAATTGTAAACATACTTTTGATATTTTGCAAATGTGATCCTTTCATTATTTCCAATATTTTTCATTTCATTAGGTCTTTAGATCTGCTTCCAGGGATTATGCTTCTTACTGAGGAAGCAGCAGAGAGTCAGCTAGCAAGTCAGTGACTCAACCAAGATTAGAACTCTAGCTTGTTTTTTGCTGTTTCAGCACATCTTGCCCTCCCAGTAGAAAGCTGGATTAGTTATAACTCAATCCCGTGGAAGGATGCGGTTAATATCAAATAGGTAGTGGTTCATTGAAAACATTAAATGTTGATTCTTTAATTAGCACTTCCTCAATCATTTTGGAAACCCCAAGAGTTAGTGAACTCAACAGGTGTACGATGTTCGGGTAGAGAAAAAAAAATAGATCTAGTAATTAACTGTCACCATCAAAAGCTTGGGTTTTCTCAAGGTCAACATGATAACTGGCTCCTGTTTCCATTAACACCTGCACTATAATAATTCAGTAGATTAAAGTGCTGAGAATGTTTTGGATAAATGAAAAAAAAATAGACAGGAACTTGACTAGGTCCTACTCGAGACAGAATAAAACTTTAAAGAGCTCATTTATGTTACATGAAAGAAAAATGTATCAAGCTAGTCAGAGAAAGGAAGTCGCTTTACTTAATTCACTTCCGACCTGGCACCTGATTTCCACCTGCACCCCCAGGAGCAGCTTGCCTATGAGCCCACTATGCACTGAATTACTTTTCAACTGGCTTGTGCACTCTTTGGCACTTTCCTTCTGTCTCTAGTGTTTCCACACAGTTAAGGGAGAGAGTTGGGCAGGTGTCTGGATGATGGCACAGAGGAGTAAACCACATACTTCCTTAACAGACACTTTGGATCTAGTAATAGAGAAAAAGACCTATTACCACTGCAGGACTCAGCTGTTCCACACACAACCTTTAGCTCCGCTCCTGTTTCTAAGGGATTGAGATTTCAAGGGAAGAGGACCTGAGCTCTAGACCCAGATACTGGCCCCACACTTGCTGGGATTCCTATGAGCCTGATGGCAGAGCAGAGAAGCTCAGAGGACTGTGTCAGGATCATTCAGGGTGCCTTCTTTCCACCCACTGTACAACAGAAGGAACAGAATTCTTTGATACTTCGGAAACCACTCAGTTTTATCTTGTGCTTCTCACATGATAAATCACATCTCTAAATGTTTTGTAATGCTTAGTAATAAGATGTGCTTTTTCATTGTAAGTTTTTCATTTCATTTTTTTTTTCAGAGTGACAGTAGAGTGTTTAAAACCACAAACTGTAGGTGAAGGTTACCTGGGTTCGAATCCCAAAAATCACTATTAACTAATTTTACATGTGTTATTCATCCTCTGTTTCCCAATTGCCTCATCTCTGATGCAACAATAATAGCTATTCTTATCAGAATTAAAATGAGATAATACCTGAAGAGTGGTTAGAGTAGAACTGGCTGGGATCCGCAGAGTAAGCTACCTGTTACAATGCTATCATACTGCATGGAGATCTAGTTGTTCCACTTCTGATCCAGATCCTTTCTGGTGCACCTGGGGAGGCAATAAAGGACGGCCCAAGTATTTGGGTCCCTGAACCTATGTGGCAGGCCTGGATAGAGCTCCTGTTTTGACCTGGCTCATCCCTGGTCATGGTGGCCATCTGGGGGAATAAACCAGCAGATGAAAGATTTCTATCTGTTTGTCTCTGCCTCTCTTCTCTGTATTCTGCCTTTCATATAACTCAATATATCCTTAAAAACTATAAAATACAATGTGACTACCCAGAAGGGCCTGAGAAGCAGTGCAGATTAAAACTGGAGTGATTCTATGATTTAAAGAAGCCAGCAAATTATAAATTTCATCAGAACTTTAGGCCCAGCAGCCTGAAATTTGAAAATGAGAAGTGATGACAATGTAAAATGTCACAGGAAGTTCTTATTACAATGGTACAAAGTACTGAAATCTGGGAATATCTGAAGTGCTAATGTTACGTGGATAATGTGTCTAGCCCCACTTCCACATCCCCTTAAAAATTAAAATCTCATCTGGAAACTTCATCGAATGAGGTGTGCGGGAAATTTTACTTTGCCAAGACCAGTCTAAAGATATCAAACAAGCATGTTCGCTTGAGAAAATAAGCAATAAAGAAAACCCTGGCAGACGATCCGTTTCCCTTTAATAAATAAGCACCGTCTTTTATGTCCTTAGTACTTGTGAAGGAAGATCTGCAGGGAAAGAAAAGTTCAAAAATCTGAAACGGAGAACACAGTCGAGTCTGTGGGACATTTTTATTCATAACATTTCCCCAGCACTGGTTCTCTTCCCCGCCCGGTGTTAGATATGGAGATGTAAAGGATATTGGAATGTACACATTCCCCATGGGCACACTTGAACTCCAAGTCTGACCCTTTGTACTTCCCCCTTTTACAATTAAAATAGCTCAGCAACTTAGCGTTCTATTTAACAGCCATCAAAGGCCTCTTGTAGAACATGGCAGCGACGGGGGGATGTGAGGTGAGCCACTCGGTGCCCAAGTTTCACATCCGTCCTGACTCTGGAAGGCAGAACATCTGGAACAGTTGCCACCATTGACTTTTTAATTATGGAGCTTTTCACTTACTCTCATTGGGCTTGAGCTGACCCCTACACTTTATTTGGTGGCAAGTGTACATCTACTATAATCCCAGGACTTCCTGAAAAGCAACACGTCCTCACTAGCGAGTGGGCTCACTTGTATTCCTCCTTAAAGTGTTTGCGGGCATCACCCTCAGGTGACAGCAGAGAGCTTGCTGGCATTCCTGAGGCCAGCTTGTTGCTCCAGTTTGCTGGAGAGAGGAGCAAGTTGGTGAATATCCTAGGAAGCAATAAACACACCTTTCCTTTTGATACAAAGTGTACAATATGGGGAGAATTCTTAAAAAAAAAAGGGGGGGGGTTGTTCAAGATCTTTGATTGATGGTGCCCTTGTGGAAAATATGTCACGAGGCTAAGCAGATGCAAACACAATTTCCAATTTCACATCAATATACTTAATAAAGAATCTGAAGAAGCGGGCATTGTTCAGCCAACTATTGCCCATTGGTTCTCTGCTTCTATCCATAAAGTTTTATTGGGACCCAATCGCACATCCATTTATTTATGTATTGCCTATGGTTGAGGACTGTGGGACTCTAAAGCCTGCGGTATTTAGTATGTGGTCCTTGCAGGAATTCAGCATATCCTAATGGGAGTCATCTCCACTCTGTGGCACCTCGATTTCAGGGCCAATGTCATCTTTCCCACCCTGTGAGAACTGTCACATTCCAGAATCCCACCTGAATTGAAAAGGTGTATTTTTTTTTTTCTTTTCCAGGTGAAATGTGAGGCCAGGTCAGCCTTGACCAAACCGAAAAATAACCATAATAACTGTAAAAAAGTTTCCAATGAAGAAAAACCAAAGCTTGCCATTGGTGAGGAGTGCAGGGCAGATGAACAGGCCTTCCTGGTGGCACTTTATAAATACATGAAAGAAAGGAAGACACCAATAGAGCGGATACCCTATTTAGGTTTCAAACAGAGTAAGTATACTTGTTTTCATTTCTGAAATATAAAAATTACTGAGATTCCTTGCATGGGGAAAAAAAGTTTTTTTGGACAGAGGATTATGTTGAAGTCCTAATCTAGGGATGGTGTTCTCTGTTTATACTAAATCTACAAGTCAGCCCAGCCAAGAATTCTTTCCCTGCCTCTTTCCGCTACATTGTTCCCTTCTGGGACAGTTGCAGTGAGATATTTATAGGCTTGAATCCACTGATTATGACTGGAAATAGACATGTTGAAAGTTTCTCATTTTCTGTTTTGTCAATTCCCAGTGTCTGCAACGCCTTTCTTGTGAGATAATAATATGACGTAGCTTTATCAGGCACAGATGTGGCCTGGGAACAGACAGCTTTGCAAAAGAGGAAATTTAAAGGTGGACAGAACCACCAAGAGAAAACACATTTCCTAAGCCCCCAATTTGTTCAAAGATAGCAAAATTCTGACTCCAGAGGAAACAAGAAAGGCACAGATTTGAACACCAACCAGTTGTGTGTTACTTTCACATGCACATGTCAATATTCTGCCATGTAAGGAGAGCAGGATCTCACCACTGATGAGAATTCCCCAGAACAATCATAATAATAAAAGAAAGCCGAGATCTTGCCCTGAGTTCGCAAATGAGTGTATGTTTTGCCTCTGTCTGGATTGAGTGGTGCACAGAGCGATGAGCCTCTGGCTTGAAACAGTATTTTCTCCAAACATATCACCCTAGATTAAAACCATGTGTCATTTTGATGAAGAATGTCAAACCTGTATGTTTTACATAACAATTTACATACCTAATAGCAATTGGCACTGATTGCAAGAGAACACTCGCAGCCATTATAAACTTATATAACTAGGAATGATTACAATGTTTGTCGGAAAACTGGTTGCTTGAAATAGAAGTAAAATTAATGTACTATGAACAGCTTTGTTGCATTATGCATTGGTTCAGATTAAATCAAGGCCGAGGCAGAGCTCTTGATAGCTTTGAAATAGTGCAAGGTTCAATGAGGCTTTACGAACATGTTGTGTCACAGAGCCTTTTTTCCCCCTTCCAATTTTCATTTTATTCATTTCCCTTTCTAAGGAATTACCTGAAGTTCAATTTTCCCCTCTTGTAAAAAAAAATCGAATCCATTGCAATCTGTGGTAGTTGGTGTAAAAGAACAGGCTTGCTAGCAATGGAGCCTGGTTGGTTCACAGTGCAGATACACTTGAACCTGTAAAAAGAATTTGCTTGAACAAAACTGTATTTACAACACCACACCAACAAGTTAGAGGATGGGAGGTTTCCTGACTCAATGGCTCTGTGAATGAATGAATTCTTCCATGTGGTTCACTGCTTCCTTGCAAGTAAAACAGCCTCCCACTCATTGCAAGGCATCACACAGCTGTGAAATACAGTGGAAAGCTTTTAGGAGAATGTTGCCATCAGCCATTCTATTAAGAAAGTAATCCTATATTACACTGGCTGTTATTTATGGATTTTTATCTGAAGGAAGTGTAACTTAGGATTGCTGAATGAATGGCTTCTTTCTAAAGGCTGAGCATGACCAAGCCCAGTTCTGAAATACTTTTCTTTTCCCCAAGGATGCTCTTCTTTAGCTTGTTCTGTTGTTGATAATAAGACTAAAACCCTGGTTTTTTTTTAATCTAAAATTAGAAGCATATCTATAATTCTGTGACTATTCCTAAAGAAATATTTCAAGTGATGGTAATAGGTTCTGTTGTTGAACGCCCTTTGGTGAATTGAGTTCTAAGAACTTAGCTCTCTGGGATACATTAGTGTGTTTTTTTTTTTTTTTCTTGTTGAAAAGAATGTTTTAATTGACATTTCTTGGAAATATGTTAATGCAATGCTTATCTAAATACTTATTGTCCCTCTAACAGTTAACCTTTGGACTATGTTTCAAGCTGCTCAAAAACTGGGAGGATATGAAACAGTAAGTGTTTAAGCAACTTAAATGAAATAATTTTGCAATCTTACTCCCCCTCCCCCCGACACACACACACTGACTGAAATGTAAAAAATTCAAAAGCAAACTGCCATTGGCTGCCCTTTCGAATGGCTCTACACTTTTGGGGGTTTATTGGGCTGCTTTTGGAAACAGTCCCAATTAGTTCCAGGTTTGGCAAAATTGTAAACTTGTCGTAAAAACTACAAGTGGAAAACATATGTAACTCTCCCCTGTCAGGGAAATTAGTTGGGTCTGTAATTTTTTCCCATGTTGAGAAAGGGCTATTATTGTACAACAAGCCAAGATTGCATAAAAGAAATTTCTTTTGGCAACATACCTGACATCTGTTCATGTCTAATATGGGAAATGTATTAAAGGCTTTCAAAAGTAATCAGGATTGGCCATTAAGGAATAGAATGCAGCAGAATCTCCTCTCATTCTAGGGCAAAAGCAGCTTTATTAGACAAGGGTCAGTGCTGAGTAAACAGGAAGTTATCAAACTTATTCAGGACAAGCTCTGACACTCTTTATCAGCTAATTCTAACTGACAGGAGTGGGTTATTTTTAGCCCACAGGAAAATGTGATGGCCACGGATTTTTACAGCGTGTATTTTGAACCAATAAAATGTGAGAGCAACAAACTCAGATTAAGATCTTGAAATAAGAAGAAAGAGCTGCACTAATCCAGCACACGTAGACGGCATCTGCAATGAAATCAATTGACATAGGAAGATGTCGTCATTGGAAATTTTTTCTCATCCACACAATGATCAGATTAGGTTGTGCAGTTTCTTCTGCAATTGAATAAGAAATTATTTTTTTGTTCCTTAAGCAGTAAACTGGAATATCTCTCTATCAGAATAAAATGACAACAAGAGACACAGGGTCAAGAAAATAAAATACATCTTTGCCCAAGCATAATAACCAGCGTTTTTTGCCAGATAAAGCACACTGTTCTATAAACTATTATAAAGATTTGATTTCAGGGATTTGGGACAGGAAAAATGCAGCAAGTGTTAAGTGTTTGGATAATCTTGTAGTTACTGTAGAGATGTATCCTATGAGTGCTGTCTAGAAAATTCTGTTTCCAGAATATGTGCATGTAAAAATATTTATTTAATATATGGGATGGATATATATTCATATTTTTAAAGAAATATGATATTCACATGAACCACCCATAAAATGCACCTATCATAAACATGAATTTACTTGAAATATTTGTTTTATTAAGTGTGCTATGTAATGTAAATGCTGTAATTTTTCACTTCATTGGGTCCATAAATAGGACTAAGATATGAACTCCTTGCCACTGTACTCACAGTTTTGCAAAATCTTAATCTAATTATAGTCTCTAGCCAAGTGAAAAAGATAACTTAGTCTCATAAATTTAGGAGTCAACCTCATAGCTTAGACTTTTAAGTCTAACTTAGTGTTGAGAATAATAACACACATTTTTATGAACTATGACTATGGACAGCTACACAACATTGCGCAATATTATGAAATGTCTTTTTAAACTCAGGAACTTTTTGTTATTCACTGATAGGGAGTGTGCCAGAATACTTAACAGAATCAGTTTTTCCTGCTTTTGTAACTTCTGTAACTTCACAAAGATCCTCTCCACCCCATCAGCACCCTCAATGCAACAGCAAGTTGGTGTAGAGAACAGAAGAAACCTCCGCTAAATGTGAGGAGGAGTGTGGAATCCTTGCACACATACGACAGATTCTTTTATTACGTGAAAGAGTGAGCACATCATCAGGAAATCACCCGACCACACGCTTACTCAATAGCTCATATGTACTAGGCATTCTGATAGACATTCCAGGAGGGGCAAAATAACCAGGCCAGGGGGTCCAGTGCTTGAGACGCCCACCAGTTGGGAGAGGCCATCATTATAATCCTGGACCAAGTGGAGAAAGGTCATTTTCTGTGGAGATGAAAGACTCCCCCAGATAGAGGTCAGGGAAGGAAGATGTGACGGCAGTAGTACCATATGAGCAAACTCTGGGGAATGGATAAAACAGACATGGAGGACCATGGTCATTCAGAAAATGGTAGTGAGTCAAGTGGGCATGATATATAGTGCTGGAATCGAATCAATCATAGTCTAGTCACTAGAACTAGACTGCTGGGTAGCTGGGGTAGGGGACCAGGAAGGGGGAATGGAGTCTTCACAGGGCAGGGTGGAAGAGGTGGTGCCAACTGAGGAGGCCTTAGAGCCATTTAGGAAGCACTAGGGACTGCAGAAGGTGACTTTATCTGCAGTGATAGGAGTCGCCCTTCTTTTTCTGGTTTTTCAGGATGAAGGGGGCGGGGACAACACACACAAAGGGAGAGGCATGCCTTGCTTTGGGGCAGAGAAAGAGAGAACAGAAACTCTTCATTTGTTGATTCTCTATTGTTTTTCAGTTCAAATGGATCCTTCTGCCAGAGTGGCACATTTGGGGTAGGGAGGAAGGCACTCTGATTCCCTTCACTGGAGATAGGGGATTTTGGGAGACACCCTGCCTGGTCTTTCTGCCATCTTGACTAAATGCTTCCTGCTGTCCCTTGGCCCTGTAGGAACTAGTTTGCTATTATTCCTCGTTTAAGCTTTTGCATCTCCTAAAATAGAATGTCTTTGGTTCTTGGCTTTTTTTTTTAAACTAATAAAAGAGTGAGACATTTGGTAAGGGTTCAGGTTTGAAGTCAGGCCAGTAGTCTCCAGCATGTGAGGCCTTAACGTTGTCATCACAGAGCTGCTGAAGGACGAGTATCTCCAAGATGATCTGATATCAGAAACCAGTGCAGTCTCGTGTCCTGTAGCGCTCAAGGGAGATCTGAGAGTCTTTCAGAGCAATGGGCCCTGGAGACTGCCCGGGCACCAGAGCGAAACGTTTCAATGGGGAACTTCAAAAGTAGCTGACTGAACCCCAACCCTGAGACTTATTTACTCTGGTGTGAGACTTAGGCCCAAGAATCTAAGAATGCTTTCTGCTAAACTGTTGAAATGTTGTTACTTAAAAGCGATAGAAGGATTACTAAAACTTGGCCTACCGTCCCCATAGCACTTAGGTCCAAATTGTGGCCTCCTGGGCATTTGGTGCCACAGCTTAAGTTGCCATTTGGGACTCCCACATCCCCTTTTGGAGTGTGTCATTTGAGTCCTGGCTACTCTGCTTTCAATCCAGCTTCCTGTTAATGTGTACCCTGGGAGACAGCAGGTGAAGTGCTTAGGCCCCTACCAGCCACCTGGGATCCCCGGATGGAGCTGCTGACTCCTACTTCGGCCTGGCCCAGTCCTGGCTATTATTGGCACTTGCAGAGTGAACCAGTGTACGGAAGATTCTCTCTTTTGCTCTCTCTATCTGTCTCTGTCCTCTCTGCTTTCAAATAAAATGAAAGGAAGAGTGGCCTTCATGTAAGTCAAGTACCAAAGCTTAGAGATTGGCTTTTCTGCTGTTACAATAGAAACATGCTAGAAATGAATGGTTCCATGACTGGAGAGGAGAGCGGTGTCTCTGACGAGCATTTTCCGTTTGCTAAGGTGATGATCTAAGCTGGGACTCAGCAAGGTATTTCCATTTCACATGAGGAAGAGCAGGCCTCTGGTGTTTTGTTGTTGTTGTTGTTTTTCTGAGTTAGATTTAGCAAAATAAGAGATGCTTGCCTTGCTCCATTTCACACCTGTATTTCACAAATGCGAGAACTGAGGCCCGAGAAAATGAGAGGAGCTGCACGGGCTCAGCCTCTGACTTCCTTGACTTCTCTGTACTCTGTCTCATCCTCCATTGCATCACTGGGAGGAAGGAGGTTTATACCTCATCCTTCCTGGTGCCTTCCACTCCCAGGGATTTCTTGCATACATAAAATGCCTTCAACACATTTCACATAATGTTTTGGAAAAAGGATGCAAGAGCCTACCTTCTTTTGTAGCATCTGTCAGTCTGTTCTTTAAGCCTTATCAGATGTACTAATTACCAGTTGAGATTGTATCGGATTCCTGAGAAAAGCATGTGAATGTAAGAGATGGATCAAGAAATCTAGATGATGTAAATATGAAGCAATAGCAAAGAACTGCAATGTGAAATGTGTAGCTGTGTTGCTGCTGCTGTTAACTTGCAGTCAAATAAAGACATCTCTCTGGAATCCCTTCTGGTTATAGAAAAAAAAAAAAAAGAGGCCATCTTAATTGGCTTGTTTTTGTTTGTGGTTATAAACTATTCCAAACCTTCTGGTTTGAATTGTGGATTATGGATTATTTCATTTCAGTCCTTCATAACCCTCAAATTGAATTTAAAAAAAAAAAAAGAGGAGCGTAAGTTTTATTTTCAGCCTTTATAACATTTGACTAATAACTATATACAAGCCTCTTCTGCGTTTGCTGGAAATGTAGTCTCGCCTCCTTAGATTTAGAGATCATACGTGTACTGAGTGGAACCGACTTCTGGCATTTTGATTGACTGGATGTGCAGATCCTTCCTTTGCAGTCATATACTAAAGTTTGCCTTCCCAACACATTAGAGCACGGATCACCTACTGTAGAAGAGGCAGAACTGGACCAGACATTGCTGCCAAGCTACAGGGACCCTCATTTCAGCAGCTGGGGAAGCAGTTAATGCTGTAAGGGTGCCTTGGGGTCTGAGCAGGATACAGCACAGTGAGAGGGAAAGGCTTGCTAAAGTGATTTTCATTTGGCTAACCATTTGAGGGCAAGCCAGAGGCAGTGTTTGGAGAGAAGGTAGTGTAGGGAAATGGCTCTTGAGCAACTTGTATCCTGGAGTCAGAGGATGCTTTAAGAGTGATGCCTTCTAAGAATATCAGGGAGCACCCCCTTTTTCCACCTCTGCCTGACCCAGCTTCACAAGACAGGACGAAGACATAGCTTGTCGTGTTTCTGAAAGGATTAGGTTTTGACATCAGATTCCGGTTTGGACATCGTTTCCAAGACTCCTCTGAATCTAACTCAAGTTCTCTGGACAGACAGCCTCTGGCTTAAT